TATCTCTCTGTCTCTAGATATCTATCACCTATCTCTCTCTCTCTATCATCTCTCTCTCTATATATATATATATATTTCTCTATTCATGCATATCTCTTTATCAAGATATCTATCACCTATCTCTCTCTATCATCTCTCTCTCTATATATATATTTCTCTCTCTATTCATACATATCTCTCTCTTTATCAAGATATCTATCACCTATCTCTCTCTCTCTATTTATCTCTCTCTCTTTAGATATCTATCACCTATCTCTCTCTCTCTCTATCATCTCTCTCTCTATATATATATTTCTCTCTATTCATACATATCTCTCTTTTTATCAAGATATCTACCACTTATCTATTTATTTCTCCCTCCCTCTCTCCCTCCCTCCCTATCCACCCCCCCCCTCTTCCTCCCTCTCTCTCTTCTGCCATGGTTATGCAGTGGATATAGGAGGCGGTGACCCTTTGAGAGCTGTGTGAAATTTCATTTTAAGGTACCCCGATTAGAGGACCTTCTGAGTGACAATAACATTATTTTGAGTGTAAAGAAGAGGGGAAACCCTAATCCATTCAAACCCACCAACAAAGCCGGAAGACACCGGGCAGCCCTCCCCCCTTCCCCCCCCCCCCCCCCCCCCCCCCACCCCGGGCACTCGTCTCGTTTCTCTTAACTCCTACGAGTTTCTTTTCCTTTTGCTTCCCAAACGGGTCCAGCGGGTCCAACCTCTCAGCCCAGTTTTCGGGCTCAGGGCGGCTGCTCCGCTTGCCCGACCCGGTCGGGCAGGGGGCTGGACTAGAAGACCTCCCAGGTTCCTCCCAGCTGTAATCGGATCGGCTTGGAGACGCGCCCCGATCGCCGCTTGGTCCCCCTTCCCTCCCTCCTCCTCTCCCTCCCCGCTTACCGGCGGTAGGAGGCGAGCTGCACGGCGCTGTAAGGCAGGAGGCGCAAGCAGGCGGTCAGGTTGCCTTTCCAGAGCGCGCCGGCGCCCTCGGCTCGCCAGAGGCTGCTCCCCGCTCGCCAGAGGCCGCCGGTTCTCCGCCCGGGCAGCGCCCCGACCTGGCCAAGTACGGTGAGCACTTCCAGCGGGGCCGTCAAGCTGTGGCTCGCCGCCCCGGCCAACCCGGCGCAAGCCAGCCGCTGCAGCGCCGTCAGCCGCCCGTCGCGCTTCCAAGTGGCCATGGCGCACCATGCCAGCCCGCCTGCCCGGGAACCGGGGAGGAAAGGAAGGAGGCTCAGGCGACGCCGCCCGGCTCCGCGATCGTCCGCCGGGGCAAGGGCGGCCGGGGTGGGGCGGCGCCAGCCAGCCGACCGAGCAGGCAGGCGGGCGGGCCGGAGACAGGAAGGGGAAGGGCCCGAGGGAAGCGGGCCGGCCCTCTCCGGGCACCGGTGCGCAAGAGCGCGCGAGCGGGAAGGCAGGGAAGCCGCTTGCAGCCGCACCAGGGAACCCCGATCGCGCAGCAGAAGCGGATCGCAGGGACGGGATGCTGGCCCGGCTGGGTAGGCGGCGTCCCGGGAAGACGGTGGATCTCTAGGCCGGCCGCCTTTGGGCTTCTCGGAGCCGTCGCGGAGAGGCGGTGAGGCTCCGTGCGGGTGACGGGGAGGAGGATATTTGTAGTTCGGGGTTGAGGTTGTGTGTGTGCGCGCGTGGAGGTCCTTGGTGCTCTCGGAGCTGGGTGGTTTTTCTTGCAGACGTTTCAGGACCGAACTAGATAAGGTCATCAGTGCTGGAAGAAAGTGGGGTGCGAGGAGAAGAGGAGGATTGTGGGGGTCTTAGTGCTCTCTGAGGTTGGTTGTTTTCTTGCAGACATTTCATGACCCAACGAGGTAACACCATCCGTCCTAGGAAGGAGTGGGGGGTGGTGGTGGAAAGGAGGAAGAGGATTGCAAACTCCTTGGTGCTCTCTGAGTTTGGTGGTTTCCTTGCAGATGTTTCATCACCCAAACCAGGTAATTTCATCAGTGCTGGTCAGCACTAGCTCATAACACTGATAATGTTACCTAGTTGGGCCGTGAAACGTCTGCAAGCAAACCAAGCTCAAAGAGGACCAAGGGGAAGGAAGGAAGGAAGGAAAGAAGGAAGGAAGGATCACTGATAATGTTACATAGTTGGGCCGTGAAACGTCTGCAAGAAAACCAAGCTCAGAGAGGACCAAGAAACCCTCAAGGGGGAGACCGCTGGGCTTGGCTGGTGGAGATGCAGTGGGGCGATGCCAGCCTGTCTTGGTTTGTGGGGGACTCTCCTCCTTTTCTTGGCCCAGCTTATCTGCCAAGGGTTTCCTTTGTGTGTGTGTGTGTGTGTGTGTGTGTGTGTGTCTGTCATTGATCCCCTGGAGGATCTTGGACACCCCCCCCTCCAGGTTAGTCCTGGCAGCTCCTCCGAGGCAGCCCTGGTCCCCTTTGCCAGGGGTCAAAATGGGGTGGTGGTGGTGGAGAACAGAGCTCTGGCCTTGGCCCTGGGTTCAAATCCAGTCTTCCAGGAGCCAGCAAGACCGCCGGGGGAGGGGAGAAGGGGGGGGTCTTCCCTCCAGCAAGGGGTGAGCTTTGCTGGGGTGGGGGAGTTGTCACTGGTCCCTTGAGGGGGTGCTTGTTGTTGGGGGACGCCCTGGCCCCCTTTTCCAGGGGTCCCAAAGAAGGGACCAGTCCTGCCCCTTCTGCCTTGGCCCCGGGTTCAAATCCACCCCGTCAGGAGGAGGGGGGGGAGAGGCGTGGGGGGGGTAAACACACCGTGGGCAGGGGTCTCCCCCCCCACATAGCCCCGGTGGGCGGTGGGGGAGGAGGAGGAAGGGAGCGGATCGACTTGGTCGTCCGGAGCGGGGGGGGGGGGCCCAAAGGGCTGGGGCGACCCCCTTCCCCGGGCCGGCGGAGGCAGCGGAGACCCTCCGGTTTGGGGGCTCCGGAGAGGACCCAGGCCGAGGTCCGTCCGGGCGGGCGGGCGGGCAGGGCCGCCATCTGGGGCGGGGGGCGAGGGGGCGCGGCGGCTCCGCCCCGGGGAGGCCGGGCCAGGAAGCAGCTGCGGCGGCGGCGGCGGCGGCAGCGGGAGCGGCGGTGAGGCAGGCCCGGTAGGCCGCGGCGCGGGAGGAGAGGCCGAGGGGCGGCGGCGGCGGGAGGTGGCGGGGCCCTCGGGGTCCTCCGGGCCTGGCCGCGCTGAGGGGAGGGACTCCGGGTCCCGTCTGCCCGGCTTGCCTGGGATTCCGGCTCCCATACGCCTGGCTTTCCTCAGACTCCAGGTCGCAGCTGCTAGGTTGACTTGGGACTCCATCTCCCATCCACCCAGGTGGCTTGGGACTCCAGGTGCCACCCACCTGGCCTGGTCCCAGCTACTTGGCTTGCCTGGGACTCCAGGTCCCATCTTCCTGAGACACCAGGTCCCAGCTATTTGTTTGCCTGGGACTCCAGGTCCCATCTGCCTGGCCTGGTCCCAGCTACTTGGCTTGCCTGGGACTCCAGGTCCCATCTGCCTGGCCTGCCTGAAACTCCAGGCCCCAGCTATTTGTTTGCCTGGGACTCCAGGTCCCATCCACCTGCCTGCCTGAGACTCCAGATCCTGTTTGACTGGGACTCCATCTCCCATCTCCCTGACTTTGCTCGGACTCCAGCTCCCATCTGCTAGCTTCTGAGGTGCTGAATACCTGAAAGTACTCCAGTTCCCATCTGCCTGTTATCTGCAGGCCTTGGGGTGAGTGTGGTACGTTGGGTTGTGCCTGGGACTCCAGTTCCCATCTGCCTGCCTCACTAAGTGCTGTGCATTTGGTTCCCACGTACCTGTCTCCTACAGATACTGGGGTGTGATTGTCTGGGACTCCAGTTCCCATTTTCCTGAGCACTGGGAGTGGTGGGACAACATTTAGACGGGGATTGTCATGCCAGTTCCCACTTTCCTATCGTCCATGGGCCCAGTGCCTCTAGAAGTGTCTGGAACTACAACTCCCATTTGCCTGAGCCCTGGGTCCCAAATGCTCGGATGGGACAGGAATCAAAGATAGGAAGCCAATCCAATCCCTGCATGAAGATGGGTGTTGTAGTCCCACATATCTGGAAGGGGAGGCCTTATAGGGGGAAGCTGGGAGCTCTTTGCAAAAAACAGACTTGTGGGAAGAAGGAGCCTGCCTTACGGAAGGGGATGATGGGTTATGGGGGCATTTGTAGTGTTGTATTGGCATGCAGCTCTATGACCGTAATAAAGATTTGATTTGATTTGAGGAGACGGAAAGGCGGGATACACTGCCCCTGTGCCGTGGATTGGGCTACAGCGGTGGGATTGGTGTAATACGGCTAGTCCTCGACTTACGACAACAATTGAGCCCAAAAATGTCTGGTATTAAGTGAAACATTTGTGAATTGAGTTTGGCCAAATTTTACGACCTTTCTCGCCACAGTTGCTAAGTGAATCACTGCAGTTCTTAAGTTAGCAACCTGGTTGTTATGTGAATCCGTCTTGCCCCTTGACCTGGTCGCAAAAGGGAATCACGTGACTCTGGGGACACAGCAGCGGTCATAAGGATGAACCGGGTGCCAAGCATCTGGATTTTCATCACGGGATCATTGTAACTGTGAAAAATGGTCATAAATCCATTTTTTTCAGTGACGTCCTAACTTGGAATGAACTGTTGTTAAGACGTGGATTATCTGTATCTATAGGTGGTCTCTTAGAGACCATTCAAAATTACAACGCTGAAAAAAAAAAGACTTTGGACCAGTCCTCACACTTACGACCATTACAGTATCCCCTATGGTCACGTGATCAAAATTCAGGCATTTGGCAATCCACACATATTTATGATGGTTGCATAACGGTCCTGGATCATGGGACCATCATCTGTGGCCTTCCCAACCAGCTTCATCATCAGATTTTTTTTAACTACCCCATAATCCCTTGCAGGGGGTGGAGTCTGGGCCACTGAATGGAGCTGAGCGTTTACTGGACGGATGCCCTTCCTGTCACCAGGGCGGAGTTTTGTTCAGCAGATATATTCTGATTGTGCCCAGAGAGAGAAATAACTGCCAACAAGTAAAATCACTTGAAGCAGGATTCACTTACCAGCAGCCTGATTCACTTAATGACTGCAGTGATTGCCATAACAACCATTGGCATGAATGGTTGGAATTGGGTGCAACTCAATTTCTTAGCAATGGAAATTTTGTTCCCTACTATGGTTGTATTACCTGTATCTTTTAGAATTGAGTTGGGTATCCCTGGGTTTGCACAGTGAGGAACGAGCAATTTATGGCTCTAAATTGTTCTAATTTAATGAGTTTTCTGCATTTTCTAGCCGGTCAAGAACCAAAATTCAGCAAGTTATGGATTCCCATTTCACATGACCTGTGGAGGAAATGACCAGAAATTGAAGCAAATAAAAAGATGTTGAGGTTAGTTTGCTTTTACTGTTCCTTTTTTTCGCCTCCCCACTTAAACTTTTATCTGGGTTCAGATGGGGTTTATCTGCTGGTTTAATTTGGGTTCAAGGTATTATGTGGAGCCAGGCCTCTTGATTAATAGACTGATCCATAGAATAGCAACACAGCTTGGAAAAAGATCTCGGACATTAAAAAGAATAGACTCACGTAATACTATCTTTACAATTAAGAATAAAAATACTATATACAAATAAGGAACAGAAACCTAGATGATTATGAAGTCAGTATGTGAGTTCACTTTTGAGCTCAGCACGATGCAGATTTCACACAAACAAGGAACTATGAACTAGAAATAACTTTACCAAGTAAGGAAAAATAAGGCAAAGTGTAATTTTAGCCATTTTCCAGAAAACTCACCCCATCGTTTGACTGGAAACAAAAAAGAGTAATTGCACCAGAGACATTCTACTAGAGAGGTGGGCGGTTTCTAAATATACAAATAAATATAGATATAGGCAAATGGGGCTTCAGAAAGACCATTATGAAACTGAATTCAGCCTGGAGTAGCAAAGGCCCCTTAACGCAAAGGAAATTTTCCGTTTGGTTTGCTTGCTAAAATTTCTGTGGTTACGAAGAATACATAATTTCAGAATAGATTAAGAATATATTTTCAAAGCCGTAAGATAAATTCAGATTAAATTAGGTGTTTTAGTTTAGTTGAGTTTATTGTCACTGCATCGCGTACAACGAAATCAAACACCAAACACCATCTTCAGTGTACATCATGACCATGACCATGAAAATAAACACAAACACACATCCTTCACACTCCACACATTGAACTGGAAACCCCCAACACCACACCAACTCTGCACTACACAGCAGAATTTTCAGATGTTCTACTAGAAACCTGTTTTCCCCAGAGGTTGGTTGTGTACAAGTTGCAGACCTGTTTGTCTGCCGTGTTCAAAATGGGCTGGTTTTACTCATTTAAGCCATTTAAATGCCACTCCTCACGTTGCAGGGAAGTTTTGTATTGCTGACTCTGGGTTTGTGGGTGTGTTTATTTTAAAAGGATGTTTATCGGAAAGAGAGATGGTTTTGTTGTTCTCTATCGGCAGCACATTTTGTGGCTGTACAGGTGTGATGGGGATGTTTTGTTAAGGTTGGGCACAGGTGATGCTTTTGCCTCTGGGTGTATTTGATTGTTCAGCCTCCCTTGAGTTCTGCAATTGGGGTCTAAAACTCTCAGAAGAGAGGTTGGTAGAATTCGCTAGCAACCTTCCTCTGCACATTCGCGCCATGGCAAGGTTGCGAACGGTTTTGTGTGGAAAACAAAGGATCATCTTCATAACTTTTAACATTTGGTAGACGGTTCTGAGTGTACAAACCAAAATACTCCCGTTTATCATGCAGAGCCTGAAGACAAAACTGGCAGACTGGCAGAGAGCAGGAACCATGTGTTCCCAAGAGCCCAAAATTGTCGCCAAGATCAAAAAAGTAACTGGAATTTCCAGCACCTATTAATCACTTCTTAAAGGGCATACTCAAGGTTTGTAATGGTTTAATTATTGCACGGGCTTGGCAGAATAGATTGCGTTAGGCTGGGTTAAACGAAAGATAGATTAACAGGTATTGTCAGAGCAGATATATTTGGCACTTAGAACTGGTCGAAAATTGAAAATATATTTGCATGTCTCAGAATGGTAAGACGACAGTGGAAAAATTGCAAAAAAAAGAGCATGTTAGTGATCTAGGCTGTAGTACGGATAAAATTGAGCTTATCCAGAAAAAGTGGGTTTTGGGCTATTTGCAAATTAGTTAAAATGTTTTTTTTAATATTAATGATAAGCACTTTTAATCAGTGGCAATCTGTTTGTTAAAAATTTCAACGTTTGATGTGCGCAATTTACTTAATTCTTTGAAGTAGTGTGTAATTTACAGAAAGTTTCCCCCCCACGTACTCTTGTTAGAATTACTAAATGGTGCAGATTTTTTTTTTAAAAAAAGTCTTAATATTAACAATCCTAAACAACCCCAATCGTCCTTTATTAATAGTGAAATAATTAGAAGTGGATGAAATTTCTAAGTAAACAGAATTCTAAATATGTCTAAATATGTGTGTCTTCTTTTATTCTACAGCTTAGAATCTGTCAGATCAATTCCTGATTGGCATTCTTTTTTTCTTGATATTTTGAATGGTCTGTTTCTTCCTGAAGAACAATTCAAATGACTCTTGTTTTTAATTTCCGTAGACACTTTTTTGCTGAAGGTTTATTTTTAGATTGATCACTTTAAGTCCTTCTCGTATCCAATTCAGTTAAAGATCGTATTAGTTCTGCTTGTTATAATACAGTAAAAACAATGTGACTGCACTGAGTTTTAAACAAACAGATACTATGATATTGCAATGAACAAAGATGCAAATTTAAATTGGATTAAATCCCACTGTAATGAGATCACTTGAACAACAATTTATAAAAACTAATTAGGCTACCACAACAAACTCAGCGAGGTGCTTGGTGTTCTCTTGTCTTGCAGATGTTTCCTTATCAAACTAGCTAACGTCATCAGTGCTAGACTAAAGTACTAGCAGTGATGGTGTGACCTAGCTTTGCAAGGAAAAAACCAAGGCCAGAGAGCCCCCAAGGATCTCCCCTTTCAACTCTGAGCTACAAATGTTCTCCTCCATCAGAACAAACTTTTTCAGATATAAGTCTGTTTATAATTCCTTAAATCAAGGATCTCCAACTCCTGGGCCGCAGCTCACTACCGGCTATGGCCCATTCAGAACCAGGCTGATGGCAGATGGTTTGAAGGGTAGTTGTCTAGGGAGATTCTCAGTCATCCAAATTGTGGTTTGTTCCAAAGGGGCTTTTTCAAGAGGCAACTGGACTTTCTGGGGTTTTGTTTCCTTCCCTTTGAAGAGGTTCCGCTTCTCATCCCAGAAGCTTCTTCTAGAACTGAAGAAGCTTCCGGGATGAGAAGCGAAACCTCTTCAAAGGGGAAAAAAAAAAAGAACAAACAAACCAGAAAGTACGGTCGCCTCTTGAAAAGGCACCTCTGGGCTTGAAGGGTAGACGGGCCTAAAGCCCCTTTGACCAGAACTTGAAAGAGTGTCGTTTGGCGCACGTAAGTTGCCTTTGAATTGTTTTTCCCGAAGGCTATTCGGACGCCATGACGGTCACCCTCGTCTGCGATCCCTCCGAGGCCACGGAGCTGTGCGCCTCCCAGCAGCTTTACCTGAAGCCGGTGGCGAAACTGACCATCAGCGTGGTGCTTCCGGAACACACCGGATCGACCCGGGCTTTCTCCAAGTGGGAAGTGATGGACAAGCTGAAGAACATGATCTCCCCGGACCAGTTCAGCAGCGTGAAGGTGTCGAAGAGCACCAAGGCCTTCGTCCGGTTCGAAGGAGAAGCCGAAACCAAGCGCTTGGTCTCTATCCTGAAGGAGAAGCTCCACGGCCAGCGGATCAAGCTGAACGGGTTTAAGGAAGAGCTGGAGGTGGTCGCGACAGAAGCCCCTCCCGACAGCCCACCAACTCAGGAATCTGAGCCCCAGCCCAAGGCCCCAAAGCAGCCGGAGGAGGAGCAAAGCCAGGCGGCAGCTCCGGACTGCATCCACCTGGAAGGCCTGCCCTGCAAGTGGTTTGCCCCCAAAGGTTCAGACAGCGAGACCCCCAGCGAGGAGGTCCTGAGGACGGTCTTCGGCCCTTTCGGGGAGATCCGCAACGTCGACATCCCCATGCTGGATCCCTACCGGGAGGAAACGGTGGGGAGAAGCAGGAACCACTTTGCTTTCCGTGGGATGAGGCCCTTTGAGGCCTTCGTCCAGTACCAAGCGCCCGAATCGTTCGCCAGAGCCATGGAGACCCTGAAGGGTATGAAGCTGATGTTCAAGGGTGATGATGGCAAAGCCCTGGCGTGCAACATCAAGGTGAGGCGTCGCGCACTCCGCGGGGGCACGGTCGCGAAGCAGCGGTGGGATTGAAAATTGGTTAGTGCTGGTTCGATGGGCGTGGCTTGGTGGGCGTGGCTTTGTGGGCATGGCAGGGGAAGGATACTGTAATATCCCTATTTCCATCCCACTCCAGGGGGAAGGTTACTGCAAAAACCCCGTTCCCTCCCCACCCCGCTAACCTGCTTTCCAGCTCTGTTCTCCTGTGCAGGACAACCAAAGGAGACCTAGCCAATCAGCTGGGACTCAATGGGAGGCGGAGAATAGATGGGGGCGGGGCCAGTCGGTGGTGGGATTTGCTGGTTCTCCAAACCACTCAAAATTTCAACTTACCAGTTCTCCAGAACTGGCCAGAACCTGCTGAATACCACCTCTGCTTGGTGGGTGTGGCTTAGTGGGGGTGACTTGGTGGGCGTGGCAGGGGAAGGATACTGCAAAATGCCCCTTCCCTCCCCACCCCACTAACCTGCTTTCCAGCTCCGTTCGCCTTTGCAGGGCAACCGAGGAAGACCCAGCCGATCAGCTGGGACTCAATGGGAGGTGGAGAATAGATGGGGGGTGGGACCAGTCAGAGGTGGGATTGGCCGGTTCTCCGAACTACTCAAAATTTCTGATATGGGTTCTCCAGAACTGGTCCGAACCGGCTGAAGACCACCTGTGTCTCAAAGCCAGGATTGCAAAACAAAAATAAAAGAAACTCCAAACTAGGCCAGAAATAGCGATTGGTCCGAGTCTGGAATTGGTAAACGCTCATCAGCTCTTGTTTCCTATCCGACGTGGTGCTGTTCCATCCCCCCCCCAAATAAAACTCCACCCCCCCCCCCATAAACCAGTCTTTGCAAGGCCACCATCACCTTCCCGTCATGCTTACACATGGCAGGTAGTTCTCGACTTGCCGCGATTCGTTTAGTGACCGTTCCAAAGTTAATGCCGTTGAAAAAAAAGGGGGGGGGGGAAGCTACGACCAGGTTTCACACTGTTGTGGCCTCCCCGTGGTCACGTGCTCAGAATTCCGACTGCTCGGGGCCCCCGACTCGTATTTATGACGGTCTCAAAATTGACGGGGGGGAATCCAGGTTCACTTAACAACAACCATGTGACCAATTGAGCGAGCCCGGTGATTCGCTTAAGGAAGTTGATCAAATGGGGCGAAACTCACATAACCAATGTGTCACTTAGCAAAAGAAATTGGGGCCTCCGCTGCGGTTGTAAGTTGAGGACGACCTGTAACCTTTGGCCGCAATTATGAGGCGCATCAGCAGCCGTCCAGAATGTGCTTCTGACACGGATGGGTGCTAGTTTCCTTGAATGAACAGGTAATCCTCGAGTTACGATCGGTTGCTTAGCGACCGCTCGAAGTTACAACAGACCTCCCAGGAGAGAACAGTGCCTACGATCGGGCTTGAAGTTCCAACGGTCGGGAGTTCTCCCGTGGTCACGTGACCACGTCATAGTTTGAACTAGCCATGCACTTTCTTGTTGCTGTTTCGAAACAGGTGACGCCTGACGCCACTAATCATTTCAGTGAGAATGCTATAAAACAGAGAACCTTAGAAAGGTTAACCCTCCAAGGCCTAGAGCGAGAGAGAAAGAGAGAGGAGAACAGAGGAAGAAAAGGGACAGAAAGGTGAGGATCTCAAATCGTTCCCTTTCGTTATCCAGCCGTTCGCGTTCAGCGTTCTTTTAAGTTAAGACACGCAGGTGTGGAAATCCGAAGCGAGCAGGTTACAGGTCAACGAGGCCCAAATCACGCTGGGCCTCCCTGCATTTCAAACTGTGGACCAAGAGCATTGATATATTTTTTTAGGGGGGGGGGCACGATGGTCTCCTTAGACTAAGAAGATGCAGGTCAGTCCTCGACTTATAATTATTCATTTAGTGACCGTTTGAAGTTTCGATGAGACTGATCCCCAGCCCCCACATGCATTTACAGCGGGGGCTGCAGCATCCCTGGGATCACATGAGATCGCCATTTGTCATCTCCCCAGCCAAGTCAGCGGGGAAAGCCAGCTTAACGACCTTTTGATTCACTTAACAACGGGTCGTTATCATGAGATGTGGCTCATTTCAACAGCCTCCGTGCTTGGCGACAGAAATTCCGGCAGCCTGTACGTCTATGTTGCCCTGTTTTCCCATCACTTATTTTGGGTCGGCTAGCAAAGAGACAGAGGATCAATTCCATCGTGTTAGTTAAAAACAGACTGCTAATTCCTGGAAATCTTACTCAGGACGCTTACTCGCCTCCTGAGATTTCAGCAAACGTTTTCCACGCCATCCCACCTAATTTATTTATCGTGAGAGTTTGTATTCTCATTACTAAATAGTTCAAAGTTGAGTGAGGGTGTTACCTTGTGCACACTGCATTATTATTATTGTTGTTGTTATTTTTTTACTATTTCTACTTTTTAACTTCCTAAGAAGTTCTGGCAAATATTGCAACCAAACATCAAGGCAAAAAGTAAACTCAGCTGGTCAACTGCTCCTATTCTGTGTTGATACCTAGACCTGTGACTTATGTCTGAATGAACAGATTTCAAAGTCTGTAATAATTTGAGAGCTAGTTTGCAAATAGGTTGCAACCCAGCATTATAGGTATACCGGTAATCGCTGGTTTCACTTGTAGTTCACTTTCTCAGTTGCTGCCATTCTCTTAAGGCACTTGTGGGAGCTTCAAGACTGGACTGTCATTTGTCAGAAATGCTTGGGTGGCGGGTTGGACTAGATGACCTACAAGGTCCCTTCCAACTCTTCTAATCTGTTAAAATCCAGGGTGGACTGTTATATCTGCTTGTAACTTTATAATACTGTTGTTTTCTCAGTCTGCTGTGCTTCTCCCAGTGGATTCCTGTAGACATAAGTACACCTGAGCTCTGTTAGCTGGTTTTTTTTTTAATTCTGCAGGGAGGGTTCTGCCCACTCCGCTGGGTTTGGAACAAAAGTTGTTATGTTACAGACCAAAATAGCTTTGCAACTCTCTCGACAAATGCAGTGCTTACAGGGATTTCTGCTCCCATCCTTCCAACCAGTCAACCATTGTAGTATTATCCAATGCAGGCCTTTTATTCCTTGGGGCTGAATCAGATCGTGTGATTGCTTAGCGTTTACCCGCTTTGTACAAAATTATAACGGATTTAAATAGTGTCTCCCAAGCTGAGAAAATAATAACTGTTATTATTACTTGTTAAAATTTATCGGCCGCTTGTCTCCCTGTGGGGCCCCTCTTAAGCGCCTTGCAATAATTCAAAAGAAGAAAAGGAAAGGAGTGTAAAACAGAACAGAAGTAAAATAATAAATAGGAAAAAAAAAACAACACAACGAGACTATAAGGCAGGGATGCCCAAACTTGGCAACTTTAAGACAACACCCAGAATTTTAGGAGTTGAAATCCACAAGTCTTAAAACTGCCAAGTTTGGAGACCTCTGCTAGAGGGCGAGAGTCGATTAAGAAACATGAGAATAAATAAAAAAATAAATACATCAATACGTTGTATTTGCTTCACCATTGTGGCATAACTCATTTAAAGACCGCTTTAGTTAGCCACAGACATGCTGTTTCCTCAAGTCTGCTAGATGACCCAGTGAAGGACTGTCACGAGTTACAACTGTGGCCGTAAGTCAAGGACTATGTGTATTAGTCTGCTGTATCACTGAATCACAAGGAAGCGAGGTGAGGTGATGGCGGCAGGACCAGAATAACCCAACCCTTCTCCATGCTGTAGATGGAGACCAGGGGTCTTCAAATTTGACAGATTTAAGACTTGTGGACTTCCAACTCCCAGAATTCCTCCTCCTCCAGTCATGTTAGCTCAGGGATTCTTGGAGTTTGAAGTCCACAAGCCTTAAACTTGCCAAGTTTGAAGACCCTTCCCCTAGATGTAGAACAGGGGTCTTCAAACTTGACAGCTTTAAGACTTGTGGACTTCCAACTCCCAGAATTCCTGCTCCAGTCATGTTAGCTCAGGGATTCTGGGAGTTTGAAGTCCACAAATTGCCACAACTTGTCTTAAACTTGCCACGTTTGAAGACCCTTGATGTAGAAGGAACATCTGCCACCACTGCTTAAAAGAGACAAGAGACAAGGAATCACACCCAAGAGGCAGCCAGGATTTTCTTTCGAACACACGGATTTCTTTCTGGAAAAAATTCCTGCTCCATTTGTGATGGCCAGTGATGACTTTTTCTGTCACTGATTAGACCCTTCTGAGCTTTGTTTGCACCCTGTTGTTCCCCTAAAAGCAAGATAAGCAACCTCAGGGCTTCTACTTGTTTCCAAGGTCGTCCCTCAGATTCTTCCTCTCAGTCAAAGCATATGGGAGTTGTGACGCCGAGCATTGCGTTCCTCTTTAAAGAGTTCAGCTGTTTACAAGGCCAGCTGCCCTTAAAATTACAGTTCTTCGGGTGAGAAGTTAGATTAGAAACAGTTAAGATAACAGAAAAAGGAGCAGCGTGACCTCTGAGTTGGAGAGATAGGACTCTCTGTACAGCTGATACTTTTTTTTTTTTAAAGAATCCCACACAGGAAGTAAATTTCAAATGTCCTTGGAAAAGGATTAAAGCTTTAATTGGGAGCGTCAGCATGGCCTCGGTGTACATCTGCTAATATCTTAATCTGGTAGGAGTATCACAGCTCTCTACGGAGCAGCTCAAATTTCTCTCCAGCTTGTCTTATATCTCCTTGGAAATCTGCAAGGCGTTTTTTTTTTTTTTTTTTTATGTCGGTAGCAATTAGATTTCACAATGGGGGCTCATTTTACTCTTTTTGAACAACCTGCAAAGTGCTTGCAGATAGGTATATTCCTCTAAGTGGTTGTCCTTATCGCCTAGAAAAAGACGGGATGACGAAGACAAGAAAAGTGGAGAAGGAAGGAGGAGGTTTAAGATCAAAAGGCGAGAAAAAAGGCGGATCGAACGAGAGGAGAAACGCCCCAGGAAGCATCTGAAAGTAACAGCTGCAGAAAGACTGAATTCTCCAGACCTTCCTCAATGGGAGGAGAGAAAGTACCTCCTGGCCCAGAGAAGGGTGGAGTCCATCAGGCTCCTGACAGTGCTGCTAAGCCAAATAAAAGTAAGAATATTTGTAAACGTATATTCCAAAGGGTTTATTGAATTTTTCAGTTCTTTTCTGGGGGGGAGATCAGAAGTTTTAGGCTCATGAATTTTAAGCGATTGAGCCTTAAAACGTAGTTTGATCTACGTAGCCATTAAATATGCTCCAGTTGCTTCTTCAAAATGCTTTAATTGTTTTATAATCTTAGCTGCCCAGGGTCACAAGGTTGAATTGGCTGGCTACAGAAATCCAATCAAATCAAAGAATCTTAAGAAGAGCGGTGCGGTGGCCTAAAGGTTGCAGCTCTCGTCTCAGGAGGCTGTGAGTTTGATCCTAGGCAGATATTTCTCTCTCTGGGTACCATGAGAATATATCTGCTGAATGCAACTCCACACTGGCAATAGGAAGGGCATCCGGCCAGTAAACACTCCGCTCCATTCAGTTGCCCAGACTCCACCCCGCAAGGGGTGACGGGGTCATTAAAAGAAGACGATGAAATCTAAGAATGCGTTTCCTCAAACAAGAGTAATTTGGATTTTGTTAAAAGTATTGGGGAGAGAGAGAGAGAGATTGCATTGTATCTTTTCCACTCAAAAGAGCATGAAGGAAGAAGAATTGTATTAGGACATTATCAAAATACTATTAAAACTCTCACGTCTGTAACCTTTCGCTGGGCGAAACAGGAGGCAAAACCATGAATCCCGTGGAACTGGAATTTGGCAAATTTTACAAAACGTTTTACGACATCAACATTATCGTAGTGCATTTTATGACCACAATATGAGTATCATAAAGCCCTGATGGCGAACCTATGGCACGCGAAAAATGGGCCTTCTGGAAATACCGGAAATGCTGAAACGGGCCTGTTTTTTGGCCTCCTGAGGCTGCAGAGGCTTCCCTCAAGCCTCCGGGAGGGCAAAAACAGCCTCAAATGGGCCGAAAAAGTTGGGAGGCGCGCGCATACGCAGTGCAGATAAGGAGCGGGCCAGGGGTGCTGTGTGCACATGCGCAGGGAGAGCAGGGCACATTGTATTGTGGGTGCAATGCACGCCACAACAAAAAGGTTCACCATCCCTGTCATAAAGCATTTCATGTGGTCACCTCCTGATCTGTTGAATTGTGCTCTACGGTTCAGCAAGGGCTACCTTCAAGGCAGATACTCCTCTGAGCATCTCCTGGAATTTTTTAAAAGAACTTACCAAGTAGATTAGAAGCTCTACCATTATCGAGGATATCTCTGAAACTATATGTTAGGCACCCAGAAATTATCCATGGTAATCAGACACTCCAAGACAATATAATCTCCAAATGATTTATTAGGAACAGCTCTGGTACTTCTAAGGCACTTCCAAAAGTGAAAGTCATTTTCGTGCCCGTACGCTAAATCCACCTTCTCTCCTCCCACTTCTACACTTCATTAATCACGAGAACCAATTAACTGCAGCTGGAATTTCTTAATGTGACATACAAAATCACCTTGAACTTTCCAACTCCTCCATCCCGCTTTTCATCCTTGGCAGCTGAATCTCAGAGCTGACACAATGATCTAACGAGTCTGGAGTTGTCTAGTTTAAAACAATGCCATTTTCCCCCCATTTCCTTGGGTTGAGAGCCAGTGAAATGGATCCAGTTTTTACCAGTACCCAGAGATGAGGCGATGTAGATGTTCTCCATCTAACCAAGGTGGACGAAACTCAAATTGCACGCGAGATCTTCGTTGTTAGACTGTGCTAGAATTTTCTTTTGCTTTGTTGTGCAGTAATTCCATTTGTCTTTCTGTTTCTCTTCAAGAATTTTGTGCTGTCCTCTGGGCAAACCGAGGCCCGTCTTCCGGAGTCTCAACCCGAACAGGAGAAGACTTTCTCCACCCCACACGTAGAGGACGCACACAAGGAAGAGACGGATGAGCCTCACCTTGAACATCCAGAAGTGGAGGATGAGACGCAACCTACCTGTCCCTCTGACCTGCTGGAAAACGTCGCCATCGACGAAGAGAAAGACGCACCATTCCTGGCTGAAGAGTTCCCTCCCTCCCCTCCTTCCTTCGGGAGAGCGCTTCCGAACGAACCCGCTTCCAGGGCCGTCACCAGCCACCTAACGGAGAACGATGCCCACCCCTTTCCTGCCGCTGGCTTCCTGCAAGTGACGGTCACTCAGGACTGCCAAGCGATCGAGTCGTCCCCCGACAGGTGGGATTACCTGAGACCTCACTTGGGGTCCTTTGCAGAGGCTCCCGAGGCGGCTCAGGCAAAGAAGCGAAAGGTTTACGAAACGGAGGAATTCATACATTATTTACTGAACTACTACCAAACGCCCCGCTATGCACGGATCTGCACCAGCCCGCAAAGCCCGTCGGATGCCTCTTGGTGGAACAGGGTGGTGTCGTGTTCCGGGGACAGCTTCCGGGTCAAACTGAAGAACAGAGACGAAGACTGTTGGACGGAAGAGAGTTTAGGGTCGGACCTCCCTGAGAATGAGCCTCGAGAGGACGATGAAGGTGACCCCTGGGAAATTATCGACGGAAGGTCTGAGGCCGCAGAAGGCCAGGCGGGTCCCCGAGAGTTTAGCGGAGGTTACCCAGGAGAATGGGACGATTCCCTGGAGGAAGAGGAGGTGAGCGTCGGCTCCCCGCCGGACAGCTCGCGTAGTCCCCTGCCAGGAAGCAACAGTACCGCTCACCAGAAAATGCCCCAAGAACAAAGCACTGAACTGGTGGCGTTGTCCTCTCCCACTATGTATAAACTGAAAGACTTGCTGGAGGAGATCAGCAGCGATTCGGAGTATTTCAGTGAGGCGCTTAACGAGCCCCGGAACCCGTCAGAGCAAAGGAACGGAGGCTACCAAGGGAGCTACCAGATGTGGCCTCCCCACCAGCAGAAGGCCAAAGATCTCTTGATCCGCGTCCGGAACATGGACGGTGAGGACCAAGAAGGGAGACGTAGCACGCGCAGCTTCTGCTCTGGCGAGGAATGCTGCGGCTCCCCTGGAATGAAGCCTAAGACACGGTTGAAGAGATCCAGCGGCAAGCTCTGGTACGAAGAGCCCCCAATCCAGTGGCCGTCCAGCGAAGAGGAGAGAGAGCTCAGCAGGAAGAGGAAGAAGAAGAGGAAGCGGTTCTCCGACAGCGCCTTCCTAGACGAGGAGGCGCCGTTCCTCGAGACCAACCACCGCGGAGGGCTGGAGGCCTTCAGCGAGATCGAGAGGGAATGTAGCAAGCTCATCCGTCCCAACATGAAATGCAGGACTCTCCCTGCCTTGGAGGAGACCATCGAAATCAAAGACCTCATCCATTTTAGTGCCTCTCCGCTGCAGGAGGAAGCTCCCCGGGTGACACGGAAGGGGAACGTGGGCGCCGTCGGCGAGAGAAGGCGCAAAGCGGAAGACGGGCAGAGGCTTTCCAGGCGCCTGGTGGAAAGGTGATAATAAGAGGGCAGAGCTCAGGGATGGAGTAGAAATGGCGGGGTGTGTGGGCGAAGGAAGGTGGCCTCCAAAGAACTCGACAGATCAGGCCAGCCCGACGTTTAGCGGCCCCTCGAGCAGGTTTGAGCAACTCCCGAAAACAAGAAAGTCCCCTACCCTCTTTCGAATTCTTGCCTTCCTCCCCTGCTTTGCGCAGTCCTTCCAGTTGAGAAGAAGCCGGAAACGGGAGGACAGCCTTCCGCTCCCCGTTGAAATAATCCAGCTCCGCTCGTGCTGGGACTCCAGTCTACGGGGCAAACCATGGTGGGGGAGAACGCTAGTTCGGTGTGGGGGACCTTGCAAACGATATTCGGGTTAGAAGTTTCACCTTAGGTCGTTTTATACAACCCTCTAAAAAGGGCTTCGCTGCAGAGCCTGAACTATATTTGCCTTGGGGGCTGGTTGGAGAGAGAGAGTGCGTGTGCGTGCGTGTGTCTGTGTTTGTAGTTTTTTTGGGGTGCGGGGTCTCTTCTGCATGCTGGAAAAGGAAGAGCCATATGAGTGAGACACTTGTAGCGTCATAAAAACATAGGTGGCAGGGTGGCAGTTCCCGGCCCTCGAGGTCCATACACCGCCATCCTTTTTTGGAACGACTGTAAAATTTGGGAAGTTGTGTGTGTGTGTGTGTGTGTGACCTGGGAGTTCAAGAAATCTTTTTCAAGTCCCCACCCCTCCCAATTCAAAGGCTGAGTGTCTCCCCAATATTGTCAGAAAGAGAACACGGCAGGAGAGAGGAAATACAATATTTCTAAGCGTCGGCAAAGGAAAGCGTTTTCTAATTTAACGAGATTAGAAAAAAAAAAAAAAACGCAGCTTCATCCAGGGTGAAACTATGTCTGATCTCTGCCAACTTCCTGATTCCCCCTTTGGAAAGCCGGATAACCGAGATGCCCAGTTTTTCAACCTGTTGCTGTCTGACATTATTCCGCCCCAAAGAAAGCTTTGCGTTGACTCATCCATTTTAGTTTTTGATCTGGGGGAGCGGGGGGGGACCCTTTTTAATCTCATGGAATTAGATGACCTTCAGAATTACAGGACTCCTCTGGCTCTCCCTGCGTTGCTGATCTAAATAATCCCTGGAAATGGCCGTGGGATCCTGTCTGGCAGAAGAAACGCTGATAGGATGAAGGTATCGGCCCTTCCTCTGTACTGGACTGACAGCGTCTTTAAAAGAAGGGGCTTAAATTGGCAGGAACTAGAAAAGCATTAAATTTACCTAGTGCAAGTGATGGCGAACCTTTTTGGCACCAAGTGTCCAAACCAGAATGCACATATATGCCGGCCGGTCCATGTGTGAGTGCCGGAAAGACCAGCTGGCTGGTGTGTGCATGCCTGTTTTTTGGCCGTTTGGGAGGCAATTTTTGGACCATTTTTGTGCTGAAAATGGCCCAAAAATGGCATGGATTTGGGGGTTGTTTTTGGCCATTTTAAGGCTTTTTTGGGCCATTTTAAGGCTGTTTTGGGCCATTTTAAGGCTGTTTTTGGCCTGAAGATGGCCCAGAAAATGGCCTGGCTTTTGGCCATTTTTAAGCCATCTTTCGGGCCGTTTTTGCCCTCAAGATGGCCTGGAAAATGGCTTGGTTTGCGGGGCCATTTTTGGCCATTTTCAGACTGTCTTTCAGGCCGTGTTTGGCCTGAAGATAGCTTGAAAACTGGTCTGTTTTTTGGCCATTTTCAGTCCATTTTCGTGCTTGAAAAACAGCCTGAAAATGGCCTGTTTTTGGAGACCAGCTAGCTGGTGTGCCTGTGCATGCCAGAAACCAGAAGAGCAGCTGGTGACAACATCTGTGTCCACTTAGAGAGCTCTGCGTGCCACCTCTGGCACATGGGCCATAGGTTCACCATCATGGACCTGGTATTTCCAGCTTGCAGCTTCTGTCCATTTAATCCCCTTTGGCTCCCTGTCTGGTTTTAAAAAAAAAAGCACAGCAGGAGCTCACCTTGCAAACATTCATTGCCTCCACTTTGGTCCTGATTTAACATACTGTGCCCAGAAAGTAGGGGGTTTTTTTTGCACCTGAGCTAGGTTGAGCTGACCTCGCTTTCAGCTCCAGGGAAGTCCTCCCAAGGCTTCTTCCTCCATTGTGGGGCTTCCCTTTGTTTTGTCAGTGTGGTGCTGATTCAGTGACTGCAAAAACCAGGGTGGGGGTTTTGGGTGGGTTTGATCGTAAGGAAGACCCCCAAGACTCAACGTAGGTTTTTCACGGAAACCTTGGCATCCGTTGAACAAAAGTTGGTTTGAACAGTAAAAACGGAGTTATACAACACCCTTCTTTGTTGATGTTTGGGAATCCCATAAGCAAGACAAAAAAACCCAGGGTGGTGTTAAGTTGCGTGAAACAAACCCAGAACTGGTGAAAAACACCAACTTTAGGGACCTCTCCCTCCTTAAATTGCCGTCACCCAATTTGGTGGATTGGCCAGTTCTGAAGGTGTCTCACCCTGGACACAATTTCCTAAGAGAAGAATTTCCATTTTGGTTCCAGTTTCCGCTTCACTTTAAATGTGATTTATTTATTCCATGTCATGGTACTTTTTACTTGATATGACTTAGCTAGCATACGTTTGTTGAACTTGGCTCCGATAAAAAGTAGTGGCGAACCCAAAAGTACGCAGGGATTTTTCTGTGCTTAAGGCTGTTTTTTTTTTTTTTGTGTCCCGCTGGTCCTCGGTGGTGGTTTCTTTCGGCTTTTGAGCATCCCAACTTGAAAACTCTTGAAAGCTAACCTTTTCTTCTTCGCTCTGGTGAGGGAAAAGAAACGCGTTTCCTGAGTGGGTGAGTGAAAAGTATTTTTCTCTTATGAAGACCTTTTTGTACTTCGCATTGTTTTCTTAGCCCTCTGGATCCAATGGAAAGTTAGCTGTGAATAAAATTCGTTTTATAGGAACTTCCTTCCAGGGACTGCGGTGATGTTTGTTTTCGTTGCAGACTCAATTTCCAGGTTTTTTTCCCCCCTGCCTCCTCCATTTCGAGTCTTTCTCTCTTTCGTCTTTGGAACTGATTTGCAGACGTGCATACTCTTTTTGAATAAAACATTTGCGCTCACTTTTAAAAAGTGCTTGGTTCCTTCACTGGAAAAATCACCGAACCTATTTTATAAGCCTGACAGACCCGGGAAGAATGCAGCTTCCCAACACACCTGTATTCTCCAGCTTTTGGGAAAGGACTTACTGGACTAAGCATCATAATCAAAAGGACAGGCAGTCCAAGCTACCTATGGTGGAATAAAAGGTGGATTTCCACCCCCTCCCGCCGATACCTAAGTGGTTCCTTTCTCTCATCCCAAAAGTTAAAACTCCAGAAAATCTTCTGATAGTTCAGTTTTCTTCAATCTAGCCAACCCACCCCCCCCACCCACCCCCCGGCTACATGCAGACTTCAGTTCCCAGAATTCTCCAGCCAACGTGATCATTGTGGAGGATTCTGGGAGTTGAGGTCTACTCATCTTGAAGGGACTACTAGGTTGGGAAAGAACTTTATGCGTTGGTGAAACATCATCTCTGCTGGCTGGGGAATTCTGGGAGTTGAAGTCCATAGGTCTTAAAATCGCCCTGGTTAAGAGATTTCCCCTGGCCAATATTGTAGCAACTTGATTTTTAAGAATGTCTCTGAGCCTAGGAGAAAACGGCCAGTAGCTGGAGTCCAGGTTTATATCAAGGGTCTTCAAACTTTAAGACAAGTTTAAGACTTTTTGCCTTCAAACTCCCAGAGTTCCTAAGCGAACATGACTGGAGGAGGAATTCTGGGAGTTGAAGTGCACAAGTCTTAAAGCTGTCAAGTTTGAAGTGTGAAGACCCCTGGTCTGTAGAAGTAGGTCCAACCGTGTACAAGTCGAAGGGAAGTTGGGGTGATCCACATACTTAGGGGATGTTGAAGAACACCCCACTTTTTCATGGAGTGTATAAGCAACGATGATCCACACGGCACCTACTCCATCATTTCATTAGACTTGACCCACACACCCCTTCACAAATACTGCGTTATGATCTAAAGCGGGCTGGGAAGGAGCTTGGAACGCTTTGCTGTCTCACGGACATCACATCAGAGCTGACTTGTAACTACGTTAAAGAGTGTGTACGTGTGTGTGTAAGCCATTCGGAATATTGAAAACTGAAGCAGCATAGAAGCCCAAGGGATAAATAAAGGTTTCCCTGCATTGTGGTATGCTACCGATTTGGACCGGTTCATCGGAGCCAGTAGCAAAAATTGCTACGATCAGCTGATCGGAAGTAAAAAAAAAAAAGCCTCCAACGATCAGCTGAGAAGAGAAAGAAAAGCGCAGGATTGGCCCTCCCACCCGCTCCTGTGCTTTTCTTTATCCTCTCATCTGATTGGCTGCGTGCATCAGCTGATGTAGTGGAAAGCTGAGCTTGCGCATTAGGTGCACGAGCATGACAGAGGTGGTATTCAACAGGTTCTGACCAGTTCTGGAGAACCAATAGCGGAAATTTTGAGTAGTTCAGAGAACCGGCAAATGCCACTTCTGACTGGAGATGTTATAGTATCTATCCTTCCCCTGCCACGTCCACCAAGCCACACCCACCGAACCGGTAGTAAAACAAAATGGAATCCCACCACTGGGGTATTAAGTGCGCGCTGGTTGCAATAAAGGAGAATATTTGTAGCTCAGGGGTTGAAATGAGGAGTCCTTGGTGCTTTCTGAGCTTGGTGGTTTTCTTGCAGATGCTTCATTATCCAACTAGGTAAATGTCATCAGTGCTAACAGGGAATGGGGTTTGTGGAGAGGAGGAAGAGGAGGATTGTGGGGTCCTTGGCGCTCTCTGAGCTTTTATTGTTTCTTGCAGACGTTTCCTTACTCAGCAATGTAACGTCATCAGTGCTAGATTTCTCCACCAAATTTCCCCACCTCTTTGTTTGCAAAAGTGGCCGGTGGTTTCCCCTACGGCCTTTCTTGCCCCACACAATCTCTCCTCCTTGCTGCCAGTATCTTGAAATGGAGATTTTTTGGGGGTGTCACCTATATAAATGTGTCAGAATCCTCAACCCTCTTATCTCATGCTCAGCCAGAGGCAGCTAAAAAAAACAATGGCACCTCGAGATTTTATCAGATTTCCTGAGCACGTTGTAAAAGGAGGAGACGCTGGGATATAGAGCACTTCTCTTTTTTTAATCGTTGTTTAGAAAGAGGTTAATAAATGTGGTTTCTAACACGGGAAAGTCCTGCAAGAAAACAGAACTTTTAGCCTTTTTGAACCCTTCGTTTTATTTCCGTAATTGCAGCCATCTAAAATGAGATTTAAGGAACAAAAACAAGCTAATTTTATTGCATTAAACACAGAAATCCGTCTGTTTGTACCTTTGGCAACTCCATTCAGAGCCTGCTAAGAAAGCAAGCTACTCATCTAAAAGCAAAAGAAATACCTAAAGAGCCTTTTAAGGCTGCATTTGGCACTGAGCAATGTGCTGTGTGTGTGATGAGTCTTCCAAAAATTTGAAATGGTTCCTACTTAGCATTACATCAGCAGCAGTTCAAAGCCCTGCAGAAGAGGTTCCATCCTAAACACCTTTCGTTCCCAGGTGATTTTGGAATGCTAAATTCCGCACGTCCTATATTAAAAACCAAAAGAAAACCTCATTTGTAGGAAAAATTTTATTTCCTCTCCTTTAAAAATAAAGCAAGTACAACCAATCCCGGCTTTGAATTTGAAACATTGTTCAGCATCAATTCTGCAAGAATGGTGACTTTAGAAAGAAGCAGTTTTTTACAAAAATTAGCTTTTTGTTAATTACACCCTACAAAGCCCAGAGGTAGGTCACAAAATTTCAGCCAGTTAATCGTCTTTAGGGCAACAAGCAATGAAGAAGGTTGTACATTTGGGGAAAAGGGAATAGGCAACAAATCTAAATTCTGTACTTTGCATTTAACAAAGGTAGAAGTCCAAAGTTACAACATTTATTGCTTGTTGTGAAAAGTAGTGTTTTTTTAAGAAGCAAAGGAGAAGAGCTCCCTACTGTTCT